TCAACGAGTTCTTCAAATTGCTGCGTGAAATGTTTGCAGATGTCACCTGGGGAATTAGAGCCTCTGACAAGCTGCAAACCGTCCACTCTCGCCAATGGAAGAGTGCCAGGGCACTCAAAGGAGTAATGGATGAGTTGGTAGTTGTCCCTGGCCACGGAGTCATTGAGACTCAGTTGGCCCAATTGTTTTATCGTGCTATGCCCGAGCCCTTGCGTGGGCGCTTCTTTGAGAAAAGCAAGGAGTCCACTATGACCTACGATAGTAGGGAAGTAGTGGCTTTCGAGGCCCAGTCCATGCCAGCTACCACCTTCTGGCACAAAGATCTGGACAAAGGCCAAAAATGGAAGGGTCGTACCATCTCGGGCCAAGTCAAGGCCAAGGATCACTTGATCCTGACTCTCGATGAGGGTGGTATGGACGAGGTCCCATATGTTCATATAGAGTGGGGCCTCGAGGAGGAGGGCAGTGGTGTTAGTCAAGGGAGGACTTACGTTGCTGTCGCGGCTGGAGGGAGGTCGCAAGGAAGAGGAGGAGGCCGGGGCCGAGGAGGTCGGGCCTCTGGTGGTCGAGGACATTGCGATCAGGGGGTTGGCGGCAGAGGAAACTGCCAAGAGGGAGGTAGGGGTCAAGTTCCCCCGCAAAACCGTTCTCGTTTCACTCGATCACCTCCCAGGAGGGGTGGATGGCACCCTGGCTTGCCACAAGGCAGGCCCTGGGAATATATGGGCTTAGAACAGACATTGTGGCAAAGACCGATAAACCAGGATCAGTGCATCTATTGCGTTGATCCGGGGCACATCATAAAATACTGCCCCAAGTATAGAGAAGCTCGGAATGTTGCACAAACATGAAAAGACAACCGTCGGTAGGGGTTGCAATTGCCCTTACCCCTAGACCATGTGGAGAAGAGTGCGTGCACCACAGAGAAACTCCCAACCCACATGTGTCTATGGCAGAGGTTGCTGGCGAGTGCCTCGACAATTGTCCAGAGACTGCTTGTGTTAGGGTCTCTCTAAGCACTTCCCTCACAGGCCTGGCTGAGAAGCTAAAAGAAAGGATGCAGGCCTGGGCCAAAATGAAGAAAGGTGGTAAAGGACAACTAAATCTAGTAGACGTAGAACTCTTTAGAGGCAGAGTAGGGGCCCTTATAGATAGTGGGGCCACTCACAATTATATTAGTAGAAAAGCGCTGCAAAAGCTGAAGTTGAACCTAAAGGTCCAAAAGCTAGAAGACCGAATCGCCAGTATCCTCGCAGACAATCGCACTATGCGAGTCAAGGATTACGTAAAGGGAGTTCAGGGGTACCTTCGCCTAGAGAAGGATGGGAAGGTAGAGAGAGTTCTCCATTCTCTGACTCTCCTCATAAAAGATAGTCTTCCATTCGACATGGTCCTAGGAATGGACCACGGAGAGGCAGCAGGGGCCACACTCCACTTGAGAGAGCACGAGTGTAGGCTCCCTAGTCCATCAGGCAAAAGTCAAGATTGCTCGCCTGTTTCATGTGTCGGGAGTAGACAACCCCTTGGCACATTGCTGTCTCAGTGCTCCCCCGTTCGCAAGCTTAGTGAAGGAACAATTCGAGGAACAGGTTTTTGTAGCCCATGTGAGGCCTGTTACTGAGCCTAAGGAAGAGGAACCCACTAACCCAACTATTGTCAAGTTGTTGGAGGAGTATGCAGACTTATCGGAGCCGCCTACAAGAGTAGTGCCGCGGCCCATCCAGCATTACATATAGATAGAGTCTGGCAGTAGGACTCCTAAGGGAGCGATTTACAGAATGTCCCCAAGGGAGTTAGAAAAGTTACGTAAGCAGCTAGACGAGCTCCTCGAGAAGGGTAGGATTACTCTACGCTCTCAGGCAAGCGCTAGACCACTGGAAGCACTACTTGCTTGAGAGGCACTTCAAAGCCTATTCGGACCACGAGGCGCTGAGGTGGTTGAAGACGCAGGCCAAGATGACACCTAAGCTTACTAGGTGGGCCGCAGAGATAAACCAGTTTGACTTCGAGCTCAAGCCAGTTAAAGGGAAGTATAATGTAGTCGCGGACGCTCTAAATAGGAGAGCTGAGTACTTTGGAGTGATAGTTCACAATCTGGATATAGGGAGAGACCTACAACAGAAAGTTAAGGAAGCCTATGCGCAATACCCTATTTATAGCGATCTCCTCAGAAGAGTTAAGGAGTCTCCAGAGTTTGAACTAGGTTACCGCACTACAGACGGGTTGTTATTCGAGAAGACGAGTAGTCAATCGTCTATGCATTCCCAACAGCGAAGAGATCCATAGTCTGATCTTAGGGGAATGCCACGACACAGAAGGAAATTTTGGTTGGCAGAAGACGTTAGCCAACCTTATTCGCGTGTATACGTGGCCTGGTATGAAGGCCGACTGCATAGAGTATGTACGCAGTTGCAAGGTGTGCCAACGGAATAAGACCACTACGCGAGCCCCTCGTGGTCTTCTCGGACCATTGCCTGTTCCGGCAGGACCCTGAGATTCTGTCTCCATTGACTTCATGGATGTTGGGGTCAGGGGTAGGCATGGCAAGAGCCAAGTCATGGTTATAGTTGATAGATTTAGTAAGTATGCAATTTTTGTTCCTTTGCCCGCGGAGGCACGTACAAATTTAGTTATAAACAAATTCTTTGACCATTGGGTCAGTGAGCATGGTCTACCCCTATCAATAGTTAGTGACAGAGATACCAGGTTCACCAGTTAGAACTCGCAGGAATTGATGAGAGTATATGTCTAAGTTGTTGATGTCATCTGGCCGTCATCCATAGACTAACGGTCAGACTGAACAGATGAACAAGATCCTGCAACAAGTTCTCAGGACGTACATTAGACCCGATCAAATCAACTGGGATGAGATGCTTCCAAAGATAGCCAGCGTATATAATAACAGCGTGCATTTAGCAACCTGCCGCACTCCCAACGCGTTACATAAGTCCTTTAGACCTCGCAAACCCTTTGAACGACTGAACCGAGATCAGATCCAAAGGCTACCGCCCGGTACGAGGGACTTTGGGATACAGCACGAGAAAAATATAGCTACTATTGTAGAGAACCTCAGGAAGGCCAGGCACAAGATGATAGAACAAGCCAATAAGCACCGTCGCCCTTCACAGTTTCAAGTAGGCGACTTAGTCTGGGTCAAGTCAAAGGAGTTTGCTCCGGAGGAAAACATATTGCAGAAGTTACTGCCTGCATACCAAGGACCGTGGCCAGTCTTAGAAGTTAAGGGCGGAGAGGATGGACCGTCCTACACAGTCAAGATGCTGGCACACCTCGACACCTACCCAGTTTTTCACGCGTCAAAGTTGTTGCCTTCTACCACAAGTCAACAGTTTCCATCACGGAGGTCCATGATCCCTTCGGACAAGGATGGGAGGTACGATATTAACCGCATAGTCAGTGAAGATGCGTTCAGAACAGGAGGTAGAGGTTGTCCCTAGAGACAGTATAAAGTCAGATTCTCTTTTCAAGAACTAGAAGACGACCGCTGGTTCACACGAATAGAGTTTCTTGAGACCGCTCCCGATGTAGTTCGAGCCTATGAGAGAGATAAGAAAGGTAAAGGTCCTGCCGTGGACTGAAGTATTTTCGGAGGACCTCATATTTAGGCCGGCGGGAGTGAAACGGTTTTCACCTTTGCAGTAAGAGATGCAGATCCCAGGGCTCGATCCCTAGACCTTTCCTCACCCGTGTACAGTATCAAGTCGACCCTTGTGTGTTTTGAACTCGTGACCTGTGTTTTGATAACTGACTGTTGTCTGTCATAGGTCTGTGTAGGTGCCAGGTCTTGAACTGTAGGTCTGTCAGGGTCATAGCTGTGTAGAGGTCATAGCTCTTGCAACTCTGAAAGGTCAAGGTCGCAGCTGCTACAATCCGGAAAGGGTAAAGGTCATAGCTGCTACAGCTCCGAAAGGCCAAGTCCGCAGACTTCCCAAAGGTCCGGAAGTGGCCTTTCGAGTGTTGCTCACGTTAGACTAGAGGCGAGTGGGCAAGTGGGTAGTCCAACTTCGCTTAGTCAGCGGTACCTAGTCCTAGTCTCACTTTATCCAGTCAACAAGTACCGTGTGGGACTGTGTGCGCCATGGGCCGGTGGAAAAGGGGCAGACCAGCGACCAACAAAAGTATAAATCAAGAGGCAGCGCCCAGCCATGCATTCATTTCTGCGTGAGCCATGCCGAAGCGCTGCCCTAGCGTCTTGTGAGAGGTGGCCCGAAGTCGAAGTGGGCTGAGGCGGAGTTAGAGCAGCCATCGCTGCTTGTAGTTAGTGATAGTCGGCGATCATAGCTGCCATAGCTAGCGATAGGTGGTAGTGAGGGTGTGTGTGTGATACAGAGTGTATGTGCGTGGGATATCCAGGGAGATCCAGAGTCGAATGCGGGTGAACAGTTGATGTAAATACATAGTTGATAAGTGAAGTGTACGCGCTCAGGCGCCATAGCCAATGTGAAGCAAGCTTGTATCTGAGTTGTGTGGGCGCCTGGCGCCAGTTTGGATTTGCCATCTGTTTGCATGCATGCGGATTGAAGAAGAAAGCGAGTCTGATTGCAGTTACAATACAGACGCAAGTTCGAATCCAGATGCAATCATTGGAACAGAACTGTGTAGCATTGTGTTCGGGTTCGGTGACCGAACCCGAACGTTCGGGACCGAACGCGAACGAGCGCCGAAACTCTCTGAACACGAACATAAAAAAAAAAAAAAAAAAAAAAAGTTCTCCAAAAATTCTGAAAAAAATATATGTGATGTAAAATAATAATACAAACAACTTTTGCCTTGGAGCATACATGCAAGCGCACGTCGTGCGGGCGGTTCCCTACGTGCGGCGCACGCGCCCAACCGATCCCGTGTGGCGCACGGCGTGTGCGGAGAACGACCCGTCACCTCTCTCAGAAAAAAAAAAGGCCGAGGTTGAAATGGTGCGTTTGAGGCCCGCCGCCAAAATTATAAGCGAGATGAAAAAAAAAAATACAGGAGTACTGCCTCACCTTGCTCCTCCTCCCATTCCTCATCCTCCATGTCTCCTCCTCCCTTCTCCTTTTCGTCTCCTCCTCATCCTCCTGTTCGTCCTCCTCCTCCTGCCCTTCCCCATCCTCCTTGTCTCCTCCTCCTCCTCGTACTTCCTCATCTTCCATGCCTCCTCGTGTCCTCCCCTTCCTCGCCGTCCATGTCTCCTCCTCCTCCCACTCGTCCTCCTCCTCCTGCCCTTCCCCATCCTCCTTGTCTCCTCCTCCTCCTCGTACTTCCTCATCTTCCATGCCTCCTCGTGTCCTCCCCTTCCTCGCCGTCCATGTCTCCTCCTCCTCCCACTCGTCCTCCTCCTCCTGCCCTTCCTCTTTTCCCTACGTCCATCTCTTCCACTCCCCCATCCCGACTCCTCCTCCTCGTCCACATCCTCCTCGTCCTCTCCATATCTCCCTCTCCTTGCCATATCCCCATCTTCCTGTCATACGCCCCCCCATTCCCCCTCCCAAGAAAAGATAAAATAATAATAAAAAAAATTAAATACCTGCACAGGCACCCCCCACGCGGAACTCCGCACGAATGTGCGGCTCGTGCGGTTACAAGTATGCCTTGGAGGTATGCTCAAATTCGTAACCAAACTCAACTTAAAAATCAAAAACCAAAAGAAACGTTTTTTTTTTTTTTTTTTTGAATATGTTCGGCCGAACACGTTCGGGTGGCGTTCGGCCGAACACCCAAACATGTTCGGACGTTCGGAAAACCTCCGAACATGTTCGTTGTGCTACACAGGAACAGAATAAAATAATTATTTGATCTCAAATAAGTGGGGATGGTCATTTCAATGATGATATATCGAGGTCATCACCTTTTTTCTAAAAGAAAAGGACAAAAAGAAGAAAAAGGAAGGTGTAAGGACCTGCCAAACACGGACTGAGACACACAGCTGATTTCTGAGTTTTGCCAAGGGAATGTATGCCTTGCTGAGTTTCCCGCTTGTTGCTGAGTTTTCTAAGTCTGTGTGTGTGCATGGTGCTGGTCTGAATGCCTGTCTGAGTGCTTGTCGATTTGAATGTGTGTGTGACCCGCAAGGGTACCCATCCGTATGCAATGAATTGCAGTCCTACAAGCGGGCTGTATACTAATTTTGTCCCTGTCGTTGTTGCCGGGACTTGATCCCGCAACCTTTGTTTGCTGTGTTGCCGGTTTGTTTGCTGTTTGCCTGTTTTTTTTGAGCCTTGCGGGAGTTGATCCCGTGACCTGTAATCTGTGTGTTTTGTTTGTGAGTGTTGAGCTGTATGGGACTTGATCCCTGAGTCTGCTACAAGTAGTCTCTGTTTGATAGTCCTAGGCCATTCGGCCTTTTTCTTTTGCTTTGTCATAGGTCTAGGTCCCCTTTGCCCCTGTTTCCATCTAGATACAGGTGAGTCTTGGGTTGTTGCTGGAGGGTCCGTCGTAGGTCTAGGCGGAGTGTAGAAGTAGCGGGAGGAAAAATTAGTCCGGGTCTTTTCTCGACACTTTTGCTGGGGAAACTCTGCCCGTTCGTGGCCGAAGAGTTGCTGCGTTATTTTGGGCGAGGACATCTTCCTCGAAGCCAGCCATAGCTGGAGCTGGAGCACGAAGTTGGAGATTGCACTGCTGCTACTTAGCAGCTCTGCACTTGAGCTTCCACAGGACTGTTTTGTTGGGATTGGGCGCTGCCTTTCTTCACTTGGCAGCCATATCTGTTGTTCCTTCTCAAGAGGGACTTCGTTTTTGTCTTCTTCGAAGTACTGGATTGGTTGTCTCCTTCTTCATCAGGACTTCCAGCACTGCACTGCCGTGCAGGCGCTGAGCTGGCACTGCCATTATTGGGGTTGCTGGTTCAGACTGGCAGGTCGTAACAGCTGTGGGGTTACTGCTGCTGCGGCAGCCATAGCTAGGGGTATGAGGTGGCGAGGAGAAAGAGGAAGACTGCTGTAGAGTTCGTTGAACGCTTTTGGGTTGTTCGGGGTTGTTGTAAACGCGGTTGTGATTCTTGGAACAAGTACTTTGGATTGGTCGGAGGAGGGCGGGGGATTACAGGATTGAAATTCGTTTTTCAATTCTCTGTGTATTTTGAGCTTCCGCTGTGCATATCTTCTCTCTGGTTTTGTGTCGATTTGCCTCCTTCAAGTCTACTCTGCAATTGCATGCGTGTATGGGAACGAGTGAATTCGTTGTGGATTGAAGTTCAATCGGGTACAACACACGTACAGGAGGCCCAAAGGGCCAGTACTTACCTGTGGTCGTGACATTGAGGGTTGCAGCGGGGAAAACACTCAGGTGGCGGGGAAAGAGGCCTCGGACACTTAGAACAGCAGAAAAACACTCAAGTGGCAGGTACGCCGGCACCACACCAAGTAGAGGTAGACATGCCGGGTACTTGAGGCCGAGAAGAAGAAGACAAAAGTTGGCATTTTTAAAGGCCCAGTATATGTAGGCTAGGTCTAGGTGGGTACCAGCCCTGTACGGGCAATATCAGAGTCTGTGTACAATATCAGAAAGTGAAATGCACTAACAGCCTAGGATCTAGCAATGATGAAAGTGGCAACAACCAGCAGCATAGATGCAACATTTACCAGATGTCAATGTGCACAATGCAACAAGTAAACCAACGAGAAAAACAACAACAACACATTTGCATCATCATTATCATGGGCTGGGGAACAGCGCAGCGGAATAATAGTAACCAAGAGGACACGTGGACAACAACAGGAAAGGGAGAAACTTCGGAAGGGCAGGACATT